TTATTCTATTTCATTATCATTTCATTGTCTTCATTATTTTATTTCATTTATTATTTGTTTTAAAATCAAATAAACAATAATATTGATATTTATTCATCATATTTATTTAATATAATAAATATACACAACATTTCAGAATAAATAATAAATAATTAAGAATGAAAATATTGAATTATTCAATATTTTATTCAACATAAATTCAATAAAACATATATTTAGATAATACACAAATGAAATAATAAAGAAATATACAATACTCAAGAACTAATAAAAAGAAATAAAAAGAATGAATGAAAATAAAATTGATAAATAATAGAAGAAAGAAATAGAAAAACAACGAAAAACAAATAATATAAAAAGAATATAAATATATAAAAGAATAAAAATAAAGTATAAGAAGAATATAAAAATAATAAATCACAAAGAGATGATAAAAGAAGAAATAAAAAGTGTATTTTTTATTGTAAAAATTAGAAATATTCAATAAAAGTGTCTAATTTAATGATGTAAAATAATTAATATTATTTTATTATTGAAAAATATTTTATTATTTTTTATGTTTATTATTTATATGTATAATTTCATCATGATGTTTATTATATATTCAATCATATGTGTTATGTTATTATAACATATAATAAATGATAAAATATAAATGAAAATGATATGAATATATAACATAGAATATAGAAAAAAACAAAAGAATAATAAGAATAAATGATAAATAAATATAGAAATGATAATCAATGATATAATAATAAAATCAAAGTATAAAAGATAAAATTAATATTAATATAAAACAAAAGAGAATAAATATAAAATGAAAATATATATAAATGATAATAATATAAAAGATGAATAAACAAATAAACAAATATATCTAAATAGAAAAGAATAACAATAATAAAATCTAAAGAATATAAACATAAAAAACATAAAATAATAAGAATATATAATATATAGATAATAAGAAGAATACAATGATATAAATAATATAAACAGAGAAATAAATATAAAAATACGATAGATAAATAACATATAAATAAAAGAATATGAATAATAAAAATAAATATGAATAATCAAATAATCTATTTCATTAATATTTCATACAAAATATAAATGATTATAAAATATATACATAAATAAAATATATACATATTGTATATTTATCATACTTTTTATTTTTTTATTTTTTTTAGGAGCAAAATATAATAAATGGAAAAATCTATGGATGCAAATTTTTTTGCATCTTTTTTCTTTTTTGTAAATTATTTAGATGCATTTTTTCTTTGCTAATTTTCGTACCCGTTTTATTACTGAAAATAAGCATATGAAATTTCATCAAAACATTTTCAAATGTTAAGTTAAATACAAAATATACTGTTTAATTTATCTTATTATAAACAATTTCAACACCTTTGTTTACTTTCTTAAAAAAACAATAAATAGAACTAAAAGAAAACAAGGACAAAACACGTGACTATAATAAAATAACAAATTAAAATGAATAATCAAATAAATTAATCAATAAATTATGAATATATTCTTAAAATAGGAATGATTTGAATCATGAATTGAAATTATTATTCATTTCATTCATTATTGTTGTTATTGTTTATGACTTATTTTATTATATTTAATATTTATTCAATTTTGTTAAATAAATTACAAAAATGGATTGAATTTTAATTTAATCTTTCATTTCATTCTATTTATTATTGAAGTTCAAAATACAATAATACAAGAATATGATGAAATGAAAAATGAAATAATTGAGTCATTATAAAATAAAATGAAAATAAAAGATAATAATAGAAAAAGAAGAGAGTACATTTAAAGAGAAGAACTTACATACATTTCATTCAATGCTTATATTTCTATTTATTATTGTAATTACTAATGCAACAGAAAGTATTAACAATCAAGAAGAAAGAAATAATGAAATAATACACACACAAATATATTCAAATAAACACAAAAGAATCTACAATAGATATGGTATATATTTAAAAGGTGAAGCTGAAGTAACAGAACCAACAATAAAAGAATCAAATGCAAAAGGAACACATACAGAAACCCCAACAAACACAGATGAAGAAAAGAAAAAAGAGCAAATGAGTCAAGACAAACATGAAGAAGTCGAGGGACAAGAGAAGAACCTCCAAAGCCAAGAACAAAAGAACAGTGTAGTTGATGAAAAGAAAAATACTGTCTCAGGAGAAGAAAAACAGAATAAAGGGGATGGACAACAAGACAAAGCAGCAGAAAAACAAACTCCAACAACTGACACAGAACATAACAAACAAAAAGACAGTATAACCAGTAATGAAGGTGGTAGTCAAGAAAAGCAAGAGGGAAAACAAAATGAAGAATCTGAAAAAGGAAAGATAGGCCAAGGACAAAAAGCAAAGGAAAAAGAAGAAGGAAATGAGGTAGAAAATGGAGGAGGAATAAAAGAGGAAAAAACAAAAAATGAAGAAGAGCAAAAAGGTGAAGAAAGTAAAGAAAACCATACAGGAGACGATAAAAAATCACAGGGGGAGAATGAGAAAGTTAACGAGAATGACCAAAATAGTAAAGAAACAAAAGCAGAAGAACAAGGAAAAGAGAAAGAAGAAGAAAAAGAGAAAGGTGAAGAAAAGAGTGGTGAAAGTGAACAGAGCAAGGGAACAACTCAAGAAAAGAATACAGAAAAGCAAGAAAGTCAGAAGGAAGGAGAGAAAGTTGACAAAACAGAAGAAGAGAAGAAAGAGAGTGATAATAAAAACCAAGAAAAGAAGAGTGAAGAAAAAGAACAAAAAGAAGAAAAATCACCAAATAGTTCTGAAAGTAAAACAGAAAGTGAGTCTGATGAATTAAATGGTCATAACAATATTGATGGTACAACACCTACAATTATTATTCTTTCTATTGTTATCACATTTTTATTCTTCTAATTGATTGTTTTAGTCTTTATTTTCAATACCATACAACAATTACTATATTTTACTGAATTGCTATTTCATTTTATTCATCAACTGTGTTTGTTATTTCATTGAATATTCATGTTACATAAACCAAATTGATTTTAATCAATTAAATTCAATAATAAAAATGATAGTAAATGAAAATAAATATATCAAATTATCATCAAAATACAAACAGTTTATCATATCAACGTTAAAAATCAATACTAAAAAAGAAAAATGAAATGAATGAAGTAGAAAATGAAAATAATATGAAATAAAGATAATATGATAAAATGAATTTAAAAAAAAAAGAATATAAATATATATTTATGAAATATATAAGTATTAATGTACTTTTACTTCAAAACATGGTTATAATAATTATTTATTCTTGTTTAAGAATAATTAACGAAATTGTTAATATTTTTATTTACTCCACTTTTTTAAAGATTTTTCTCATTTTTATAACAATAAACATGCTTTACATTTTCATTAAATATAATGAACTCATTTTGTATCAAAAGAAAATTCAATTCATTCATTATTAAATTATAATTTTAATAACATTTAATTCATTTGTTCATATATTTGAATATTATTAATTGAAATTTTAAATAATTCTGTATTAAAATTGATAATGTATCAGTTATGTCTAATACATTTTATTATTTTGTTTGTTTATAGCAAAGTTATCATACCAAGTTATTGTATTTAATTTATCTATTACTTCATTACATCTTCTTACAGTAATTATTACAAATGAATTTAACATACTATTAAAATTCAACGCTAAAAAATCATTGAAATATAGAATTAATTTATCAATATTATTTGATAACATTCTTTCTCTATTCCATCAAATATCCATGTTCATAACATGGGTACGAAAATAAGCAAAGAAAAAATGCATCTAAATAATTTACAAAAAAGAAAAAAGATGCAAAAAAATTTGCATAATTAGAATTTTCCATTTATTATATTTTGCTCATAAAATAAATAAAAAGTATGATAAATACAGAATATATAAATATTTATGTTTATATTTTATGATCATTTATATTCATTTTGTATGAAATATTAATGAAGTAGATTATTTGATGAATCATATTTATTTTTATTATTTTTATTCTTTTATTTATATGTTATTTATTTCTTTTATTATATTATTTATGTATATTATTTCTCTGTTTATA